GGAGCGTGGCCGGCAACGCTGTTTGCTTTTGGGTCGGCTCAGTCCGTTTTCCCCTTTCCTTTGCCGTGGGAAAGACGCTGCAAATACTCGAGGAAGCAGAAAAATTAATTTCTAAAGGGCAGAGCTGTTTGTGAAGGGCAGAGGGAGCGTCTTGGGAGGGCGGCAAGGCAGAAGTGGCTGGGTTTTTGGAAATGCCAAAGGTTATTCAGCGCAAGGAATCGCGACTGACGAAGCAGGTAGTGGTTTCGTCGTCGGCTTAAGCTGATCGAGGACCACGCTGCTACCGAAAGGCGCAGCCTGAAAGGATGGTCTAAGCCGGCCCTAGGCTTGCGCTGAGTTTAGGAGCACAGATCCCTCCCTGGGTCCTGATCCCAACCCAGCGGGACGCGTGCACGATGGCTCGAGCCACGCATCGAACAGCCTGCGCCTGGTGACTGTGGATCTGGCGTTTGTGGATGTTCCCCGATCCGAGTGGGGCAGGATTTTTGGCTTTCTAATTAAAACCAGCTCCCAGAATGAGCATTTAAGGGAAGCGGAAGGGAAATGGTCTGAAATCTGGGCAGGAGGTGTCGTTCCCAGCCCTGCCGTGGAGTTAGGGACCAAAAGAGGAGAGGAAGGAGGGGATTGCCTGAGCCGGGGATGCCTGAGATGTGTGTCTTTCTCTCAGAACAAACTCCAGAGCCACCTGGAGCCGCTGAAGAAGAAGCTGGACGCGGTCCTGAAGCAGAAATCCAACGAGGAGGAGAAGATCACGGAGCTGAGGGTAAGAGCCGGCGGCTGCTCCTGGCACAGCGGATGATCCTGCGCACAATTCCTTTCCCCACTTACTCATTTCCCATTTCTCCGCCTTCCACCTTTCGCCCTGCCAAAAAATAATCGGCCCTCAGCTAAGGAGGACGCTGAAATGCCAGCGCTGGGAGCGTGTCTTGGCCCGAAGTCTGGTGAGGGGGATGAGCAGGGAAGCTTTTCCCCCTCTGCCTTGCGGATTTGAGCTCTCACGGAGGCGTTGCAGTCCCTTTGCTGCAATCGTTGGGATCACAAGGGCTGGAAGCTGTTTCCCTGCTGAATTAGAGCTTAATTAAGGGGGTTTTGTGCCTGAACGTGTTGTGGGAATTGGTAGCCTGGGAGAGAGAACGAACCCATGTCCTTTGGGTCTGCCACTTGAGCTAAGGATGCCTTTTCCCCCCCCCCTCTTCCCCGCTCCGCAGGACAAGATGAAGCTGGAGATCAAGGAATTCGAGTCGGACTTTGAGGTGCTGCACCAGTTCCTCATCGGGGAGCAGGTCCTGCTCTTACACCAGCTGGAGGAACGCTACGAGAGCTTGCTGGCCCGTCAGAGCAGCAACATCAGCCAGCTGGAAGAGCAGAGCGCTGCCCTCAGCCGGCTCATCGCCGAGGCGGAGGACAAGAGCAAACAGGACGGGCTGCAACTGCTCAAGGTCTGGTTGGTTGGTTGGTTGGTTGGGTTGTTTTTTTTTCTCTCCTATCCCTGGGATGGGAAGGGGGAAAGTCGCCATCGGGGATCCCAGGAGGAGGGCAGAGCTCTGCTGCCGTGCCGGGCAAGGCCTCTCCCAGATGTTCTTGAGCTTTCCAAAAGAGCTGTAAGCTCAGATGATTCACGTAGTCGATCTCTGGACTGTGAACCCTCGCTCAGCTCCGCGCCGGCAGCTGTAGGAACTCTGGCCCCGCTTTATGGCGAGGAGATAACGTCGCCAGTGGGAATTAAGGAGAGCTGCCAGGAGGGGAGTGGGTGGACCTTGCTTCAAAAAGGGTCGTCTTCATGGGAGAACGGCCTTACCTGGCGGGCTGGATCCTTTCCCATCCCTCCTGCCAGGGATCCCGCAACATCTGCGGGATCAGAGGGGAAAAACGGGAAGAGAAGGGGAGGCCCCGAGGGGTTTGGGGTTTGCTAGGCTGCCTGTATTAGTGGGAACAGCCTCTACCAAGGGGTGAATCCATGGGATGTCTCTCTCTGGGGGATATTCCCCTTGCCTGACCGTGGGAGGGGACTCATCCTGTCCCTTGGGGTGGTTGGCTCCTTGCAGCTCAGCACGGTGCTGAGCCGTGGCTGCTAAGAGGATTTAGCGTGAGGGATCGGTCTCAGTCCTCCCTAATCTCTTCTTTCTCTTTCTCCCCGCTTCCCACCCGGCTGCCTCCTTTTGCAGGACATCAAAGGCACTTTTATCAGGTCAGTGACTGTCCGTTGGCATCTTCTCGCTGTAAATAGCTTTTGTGTGGGGAAAAAAAAAAACCCCGTGAGCTTTTTTGTTTTAAACCCCGTGCGGTGGGCGCTTTTCCAGGCTGGGGTTGGGCGACGCGAGGGAAAGCTGAGTCGTGCCGATGGTTGGAACTCCTGGCTGACGGCCTGGCGGGGAATAATGGGATTTGGGGGGATGACTGGGGACACAAGGGAGAGGGGGAAGGCAGGGAAGAGATCTCGGAATCCCTCGCTTTTTGGGAGCGGAGCTGGGTCTGCCCGCGCAGACCTCATGCCCCAGGGAAGCAGGAGCCGCTGAAGTCTGGAAGGATCATTTTTTCCTCCCCATCTTTAAATCGGACAAGCAGCCGCTCCTCTAAATCGGCCCCCAGCCTCTCGCCGGCAGGTGACGGAGCCGTGTCGGAGCAGGGCCTGGCTGTCCCCGGTGCTGGGTGGACGCGGCTCCATCCCTGCCCGAGATTGGCCGCGTCCTGCGGCCGAGACAGGGTGGGGACCGCCGGCTGTACCAGCGTAACCGGTTCGGCCGATCCCTGCCCCACTCTGGGGTTTTTTGGCTGTGTGCAGGGCATCTAGTTTCTCCTGTTGTGTCTTTGCCTCCCCCCTGAGCACACGGAACCCCCGCTTTTTCCCCCCCGGCAGGTGCGAGAACATCAAATTCCAGGAGCCCGAGATGGTGCCGGTGGACGTGGGGAAAAAATACCGCAACTACTTTCTGCAGGACGTGGTGATGAGGAAGATGGAGAAAGTCTTCAGTAAAGTCCCTCAAGGTGAGGGAGACCTGGCTCCTCTGCCCAAGGGGACGACGTGGCTTCTCAGTGGGGTCCTGGGGAACGGACACTGGGCCTTCCCCACCCTCCCAGGCTGGGGATCTCTTGTGCATCCCCAGCCTTGTTGGGGTTCGCCCTCCAGCTCTGCCTTCCCAGGATTTTCACCCCTTTTTTCTGCCGGTCTCCTCAATACTGGCCTCTCCTCTCATTCTTCTCCACGCCCTGCTCCGTCCTTTGATCCGGATCTCCCCTAACGTGGCTGGCTGCCCATCCCAAAAGCAGAGCTGGATCCAGAGTCGCTGACAGCTCCGTGGGGGGCTGGGCTGGGACTCATCTCGGAGCTGAAAGAAATTTAGGGTGGGGGGAGCTGGAAGAAGTTTAGGGTTGGGGGAGCTGAATTTCTTTTAACTCTATCCCAGACAAAACCAGTACAGACCCACAGTATCGGTCACGGTAGCCACTGGGGCTGCAGGTACACACGTGGGTGAAGATTTGGGGTTGGGAACTAAGAGGAGGGGAAAAATCTTGGGATTGGGATCTACAGGGAGATAGAGGTGACCAGCGACCCCCTAACGTCCCCCGTCTCCCTCCCAGCCGACGTGACCCTGGACCCCGACACAGCCCACCCTCGCCTCAGCCTCTCCCTGGACCGACGCAGCGTCAAGCTGGGCGAACGCCGCCAGGATCTGCCGGACAACCCCAAACGTTTCGATTCGGATTACTGCGTGCTGGGTTCCCAGGGCTTCACCACCGGCCGTCACTACTGGGAGGTAGAGGTGGGAGGCCGGCGAGGTTGGGCGGTGGGCGCAGCCCGGGAAACGGCTCGTCGCAAAGAGAAGACGGTGGGTCCTCACCAAAAACGAGAAATCTGGTGCGTGGGCACCAACGGGAAGAAGTACCAGGCGTTGACGGCCACGGAGCAGACGGCCCTGTCGCCCAGCGAACGGCCCCGGCGCTTCGGCGTCTACCTGGACTACGAGCGGGGCCAACTCTGCTTCTACAACGCCGAGAGCATGACCCACATCCACACCTTCAACGCCTCCTTCCACGAGCGCATCTTCCCCTTCTTTCGCATCTTAGCCAAGGGCACCCGCATCAAAATCTGTGCCTGACCGGCCGTCCCTCGCCCTCCCCGCCGGCTGCCTCTACCCACGCCGGATCCGACCTCACCCTTGGATCCGGCCTTGCACACGGCCACGCTCCTCTGGAATTCCTCGGATCCCGTTTAGGGATCCGACGCTGCACTTGTCTTCTTGCACCGGCTTGCTCACAAGGCCTCTTCCCTCGACCTCCTGTCCTCCTGCCAGCTCCTCTCTGGGATCTCGCCGCCACGCCGATCCGAAGCTGGTTTTGTTTGGAACAGGGAAGGATCCGCCTGGGAGGCGTTTTCGCTTTGGCTCTTGCTGCTAGGAGCTCCTCTCTCCCTTTCCCAGCCGACGCCTAAAGCTTTCCAGCGCGCTCTCCACCCGCGTTGTGCCCCGTGGTCGAGTTTTGAGGTGCGTCTTGGCTCTCTTCGGACGCGGAGCTCGAGCCCTAGAGCTCCGGGGCGGGGGTCTGTACGTCGAGGAGCGAGCGCGCTCTTGGCTTCTTCAAACTCCCATCGTCTTTTCCAAAATCGTCGGCTTTCGTGTGCCAAGGTGCCTGGATTTGTTGGGATTCACCTGAGCAGCATCAGAACACACCAGCTGTTTGGACCCAGAGTTGAACCCGCTTTAACCTGCGATCTTCTCCTGTTCTTTCCTCGCC